CAATAAAAATCAAAAGTGGTTAGATACACATATTATTTTTTTGGAAAATCCCGTCAATGATAAGCCTAGCTCAAAAAAAGGACGACCAACAATGTTATTTACGGAGGTTAGTAATCAGTCAAAAAGGAAAAAGGTGTCACCTTTGGTGGAAAACTATACAAAAGAAGAGTTGACTTTTGCAACTTGTTCCAGCCTAAGGTTATCAGGCCAATGGGATGCTGCTTTGATGGTGGAAACTGTAACTAAAAGTTTGGAGGCAACTAAGATAAAACATGCTATTTCTCACCCCACACCTTTGCCCATTAATTATACTCCAGAAGAGGCCTTAGCCCTAAATATAACTGAAGAATTAACGGTTAGGACATACTTGGAAATAAGATCTGGAGCTAAAGAACGAAATGCTGATATTTATCCATCATATGGTTCCATTCAAAAAGCAAAAAAGGCATGCTATCCCCCAAAAGAATCTATTTGCATAACAGAACTATCTGCGGAGGTACATCTGCAATCATTAGTGGACACAACTGTTCTTAGACTTGCAATGGTTCAAAAAGATGTCTTAATACAGGAAGCAGCATCTGAAAGTAATCTTACTATCATATATAAATGGGGTTGCGATGGAAGTGCAGGCCATTCAAGATATAAACAAAAATTTACCGATGAAGATGGAAGCGTTCAAAGTGATGAATATTTATTCGCAGTATGTTTAGTACCTTTAAGGCTCCAAACGGAAAGCGGTAAAATTTTGTGGAATAATCCCCGGCCATCGTCAACTCGTTTTTGTAGGCCTATTAAAATTTCGTTTCAAAAAGAAACCAATGAACTTTCTAAAAAAGAAATAGAGAGGGTTGAAAACCAAATTAAAGCAATTAAGCCGACAAAAGTTCCAGTTGAAAATGTAGAAAAAATTGTTTCTCATAATTTTCAGCTTAGCATGATAGACGGAAAAATCTTTAGTGCAATTACCGAATCATCAACGCAAACGTGTGGAATTTGCGGGGCAACCCCAAAATGTATGAATGATATTGAAAGGGTTTTAGAAAGAGCTATTTACGAAAATCATTTAAATTTTGGACTATCCACCCTCCATGCCTGGATTCGTTCATTTGAAACTCTGCTACATGTAGCTTACAAGCTGGGTGTATGTAAATGGCAAATTCGAGACGAAATTGATAAAAATATTGTTAAAGAACGAAAAAATTTAATCATCCAAAAATTTAAAGCAGAAATGGGATTGTTATAAGTAGATCTTACTAAACAAGGTTTTGGAACGACCAATGATGGCAATACAGCCAGACGTTTTTTTCAGAACCCATTAGTTGTTTCAGGAATAACGGGAATTGACGAAAATTTAATTAAACGTTTTGCTGTCATCCTTCAAACTATGTCATGCGGTTTTTCAATCAATTCAGAAGCATTTCGCGAATATGCGATAACAACCGCAAAAATGTTTGTAGAGTTATACCCATGGTACTACATGCCTTCAAGCATCCACAAAATCCTAATACATGGAGCTGACATAATAAATAATGCAGTGCTTCCAATAGGAATGCTCTCAGAGGAAGCATTGGAGAGCAGAAATAAAGACTTTAAGAGATTTAGGCAATATAACACAAGAAAGATGTCGCGTACTAAGACCATGGAAGATTTATTTAATATTTTACTCTTGTCGTCTGATCCCTTAATATCATCAATTTCTAAAAACAAACCGAATATCTCTAAGAAAAAGGATACAATTAATAAAGAAGTGTTACAGCTACTGTCCGACCCAGAAGTAAATTTTGGGCAAAATTCTGATATCCTAGACCAAGTCGAAGGGTCTAGTTCCGATTCCAGTTTTAGCGACTAGAACAATATTCGTTTTAAATAATTTAGTTTTAAATATTAATTTGTTTGTTAGTGTGTTTTTTTTTCGAAGAAATTCATTTTATTTTGTTTCCTTGGATTTCTTATGTAATAGAAATTTATTTGAATGTTTATTTATGTTATCATTTTTCTAAAGTTTTATTTATGGTATTTTTCAAGTGTCGAATAAAAAAATTAAGTTAAATAATAAAATATTAGTTTTACGAACGTAATGTTTCTGGTTTTTTATTTGAATCAATGACTACCGTTCAAAAAAAAAAATGTTATAAACAAATAAATTAAATGGAAAAATGATTATTTACTTAACCACAAATATATATATATATATATATATATATATATATAAACAATGGGAGTTTCTTGGGGTATCGGTCGTCTTGAAGGGCTAGGAAATAAAAATCTCTTTTTCCACTAAGCCGAGCTTTCGGCAATTATTTATTGCCTTCGTCAGGGCTACAACAATATAAAAGATCTTATTATTATGAATAATCAAAACTATGACTAGGACATATAAATTTTTAACTATAACTTACTTGCAAAGTGACAATTTTATAGTCGAAAAGCTTTCAAATTGTCGGAAAATTGTTGTTATTCTATTTTATTTGATTTTGGAAATTCACAAGTGATTATTCATGAACAAAATTTAAATAAACGTTTGTTTCTAGAAATGGTAGAGATATCTCAAGAACCTTTATGCCTAAATAAAAGAAAGGATATTCAAGATCTCAGTAGTATTTATTCGAACCTACTTACATCTAATTAAATTTATTCCTAAAATTACCTAACTGGTCTAGTGATGACACCAAAAATCAATGTCTATGAGAAACTAGTATTTATACACTTCAAAATTTTATTCTACATATTCTTCTATCTCTTCTATTTTTCTTATATCTATCAATTATTGTTTATTAATTATTTTTCCATATTTTTAACATTTATATTCTGTACAGTTTGATAGTCAAAATAGAATAACAACAATTTTCCGACAATTTGAAAACTTTTCGACTATAAAATTCTCACTTTGCAAGTAAGTTATAGTTAAAAATTTATATGTCCTAGTCATAGTTTTGATTATTCATAATAATAAGATCTTTTATATTGTTGTAGCCCTGACGAAGGCAATAAATAATTGCCGAAAGCTCGGCTTAGTGGAAAAAGAGATTTTTATTTCCTAGCCCTTCAAGACGACCGATACCCCAAGAAACTCCCATTGTTTATAAATTCTCCGGTCAAGATACTCTGTAAATATATATATATATATATATATTTATGATATCAGAGAAAAAATTTAAAAAAATAATAATAAAACAATTAATTATTCTATCTATTATTTTATATCAGCTAGATTAACGAAAAATCACACTGTGCGGCGCGGGAATCAGCGCCATTTTGTTTACTTGCCAGACATGTTATTTATTGCAAGGTTGTTTGATAGAGGCGAGAGAGGTAGGTTGCCAGGTAGCTTTATGACGTCATCTAGGATCTAGGGTGCCTCAACATAATGCAAATCTTTATAAGGTACCCCAGATCAGATGCGTCATCAAGGTATCCATTACCAGACAAACCTGAACCTTGATTTATTGAAAAGTTTGCCTTCAGCAATCCGCGCCATTAGCCCCATTTTGTTTACCTATAAAAAATTTAAGGAGGGGGCAAGTAGTGTATGCCCTATGTCAAATTTGTCATGCCCTATCATAAATTTGACTTTAGCTACGACCCTGGTTCAGTGTTTTAAAATACCGGCCATTAGACAATTACCCAAACAAATGATGCGGACAGTGAATTTGTTGCGGAAAAAAATACCATCATTTTTAACTATCGATATCCAATAAGTACGTTAAAATGCTCAAAAAAGGGGCGTGGCACCAAAAAAAATTTCGCCTTCGGCGGTTGCCAGCGGCGCTATTGGAACTTATTATAGTGCTGCCCCCCCCTGAGAAACCTCGTAACGACGCCCATATCTGTTGAGGATATAAAATATAAACTATAAGATCAAAACAAATTTTCCCAGGTGCATTGGAACAAAATTGAGTATTTTAACTAATTCATGGCGCTCTAAATTAAAAAGTAAAAATTTAAATAATTTGGGGATGGAATGTCAAAAAGTGACAAATGAGGTGTCATTGTACTCGTAATGTAGTTTTCTATTGAAATAAGGGAAAATATACCTGGCGTCTCATTTAAAATAAGAAAGTTACGGTCACTTCCGGTCAAACCGGAAGTGATAATAAATAATTGAATACGTCAAATAATGCACATCCGGGTCATAAATAAACGCATCAAATGTCATTTGTTTATTTGGAAAAATAAAAAAGTTATAGGGGTGAGCGGGTTTTGAAAAACACCCGGTATATACCCTCGGGCGATTTACGAACCCTCGGTCCAGAAGCCCTCGGCTTTGTAAGACTGTCGCCCTCAGGGCATAATCATCTACTTAGTACCCTTGATACATGAATAACTACCTTACGCCTCTCTGCGCCCAAAATGCGAAATCCTAGTGAACTTTAGTGAAAAATCGTCAAAAGTGGAATCTCCGAAATCCCAAGTCCCTTAAAAATTGTCGAATCCCCTGCGATTTCCGAAATTGATAATACCATAACATTTTCGACTACCTATATTTGACTTTCCTCCCAAACATTTGAGTCAGTTTCAAAAAAAAAAAAAAAAAAAAAACATAAAAACCGAACAAGTCGTAGATAATATTTTCAGCTATATTTCATCCTTTCTATCTAACACTGGGGTTACAGTTTCAAAATAAACATAAAAATCGAAAGTCTTAGATAAATATTTTTTCGACTATATTCAACTTTTTTCATCAAACGAGTTGAGTTTGGCCGCTTGGTCTATAACTTGCCAGTATAGAAAGTTATAAAGCAACATATTGATAAGATATCATTGCAAGATCCCAAGAAAAATTTGAAAAAAAAAATTATATTTGTTAATCTGTCAAAACACTTCTTTGTAATGCTATGGTATATATATTATTTTCCTCCTACGCCAATGAACTATGTGCAATAAACGATGTGACAGTTTCATTATACCAGGTTTTAAAAAAAATAAACTAAAAATTCACATTCATGAAAAAAGGTTTACTTTACACACTTGTTGCATAAATAACTATTCTTTTTCTACAGAGTATCTTATCTGAGGGATTAATTCAAGACTCCTCCACAAGATTGAATCAGCAGAAATATGTCAAAAGGTAACTGTTTTTTCTATATACCATTTAAAACGAAACAGGCTAGATATCTGGATATCAACTTTATTTTTTAAAAAATCGCTCGTACACGTAATTTGATTGTGTGAGTGTTTGAAACATTTTCAGCACTAATTTAACATTCTAGAGGGTTAAAATTGGAAGTGCTAAAAATGGTTGCAGAAAACTTTCCTCTTCGCAAATGAAACACGTGTACGAGCGATTTTTTTAAAAATAAACCTGGTATCAGATATTTAGCCTGTTTCGTATTAAATGGTACACCTTGTATAGAGGTTCTATAAACTGATATTTTCGGGACTTCCAGAAACGAGTCGTCACATAAAACCCAAGAAAAGAAACGCTAATTCATTGATTGTACTTTATAAATAAATATAAGATTTTACAAGAAATTTATTTTATTGAAATTGTTGTTTAGTTTTTTCAATAAAAAGTTGTTAGAAGGTTAAGTGTTATTCACATCCACTTAACGTACGGAAAATTAATAATAAAGAAAAGTTGAAGATTATGTACTTATATGTAATTGTTTACATTCACTTAAAAATTAAGAAAACTAACTTAACACACGGAAAAGTTGAACCAACTTCAGCTTAAGAAAATCTGTACGGTTATTTCAATAATAATTATGAATGACAGAGAGAATAAACTACTCTGTTATTATCAATGTCATTGGTGATTACACATAAAAAATTAACTTCACTGTAAACACACATCTTTTCTTTTCCATACAGTAAGTTACGATAAGTGAATGTAAGTGACCCTTTACCTTGAAAAAAAAAATATATATAAATATATATACACAAAAAGGTTTAAAAGGGACAAACAAACAAAACAAACATAATGTAAAACACTTTTTATTTTTATGAAACAATTATTGTTTTTCTTTTTTATTATATGTATCAATTGATCAGAAAAAAAAAATCAGTACACAAGTAATGTTTCGCAATTTGAGAAGAGATTAATCGAATATTGGAAAAAAAATTGTTAATTACAAATTGATTTTTTTTACAAAAAAGAACACACTGATCTTACAAATAATTACTAATTAATTATTAAAAAACAAATGTTTGACTCTAGGACTATTTTCTTCTCTAGTCTACTTTTTTCTGTACTTTTATTGCCCTTAATCAACTTTGTTTTTTTTTTGCAATTAATTTAATCACTTGTCGTTATTAAGTTTCCGCAAACCTTTTTTTTATTACAAAAATTGTAGTTTATTATACAGGGTGATACAAATTTACATCTTGGAATTATTTTATATTAAGCCAACTTTTTGTTTTGTTGCACCCTGTATAATAATTTATTAGGCGATATGTTGGTATCTTGGAAACACAGTTGAAATTTGTAGTGTTGCCACTCAATGACGGCAGCATTATCTGTAAAATTGTTTGTGGCAACACTGCCAATTGGATGAAATTTCAAGCCAGCAAAAAAAGAATATTCTATATTCACTGGCAAAGTTGTTTTCGGATGTTGCCAGCTTGTATTGTATTATCGGAATTAGCTAAAAAATGGCTCAAAATCTTGCAGTTTCCAAAACAGCAACAATGTACAAGCCCTCACATGAATATATAAAAAAAATGCACTATTATATTAATATGTATTTATTTATTTATTTTATTTTTTGTACAAAAATAAACCCGATTAAAAAACTACTGAAGATGAAGGTGACGACGCGAAAAAAAAAAAATAAAAACTCAAAACAATACTTAAAAACTAAAATTTATATCTATCATTTACATAAAATTGGACATTTTTTACAATTATAATTGAGGGAATGGGGAATAAGGAAGGGACAATCGGAGAGGGGCGAGGACAAATTAAGTAATAAGTTAGATAAGAGGTCAGGTACCGCGGCTAGCGTTCACACAACTTCGCACGGTCACACTTTTAAAAAAAATTAAAAAAAAGAAAACATTTTAAAATAAAAAAAACCATTCCAGTGCGGCAAAGAGCTTTTCTGGGTTGTGGCCGAAAATAATTTTTGAATTGTAACTATTTGAGGTTATGTCACGACAGTAATCGAAAAAATGAGCTCTGCTGGTTGCGTTTGCACTGTAAATGTCCGTCACAGTTCGTTTTCACGGCTGCTGCGCACTGGTTTCATTATGCGTCGTCCTCTTCTTCCTCTACCCCTTCTTCGCCTTCTACGTCTTCTTCGTCATCTTCTACAAATATTGAATTAGTTAAAAATAGACAAATAAATATCCTGATTCTTACCTTCGCCCTCGATTTCGTCATCTTCACCTTCGGGCAGTTCTTCTTCACCTGTGTCTTCCTCCTCGAGAATTTCTTCTTCTTCCTCGTCTAACTCTTCGCCCTCCGAATTCGCACCGTTTTCTTCTTTTTTCGACTTTTTAGGGTCATCGGTTTTGTCCTGAAACAGAAAAATCGAAATCAATGATGCAATTAAAATTCAGGAAGTTGGATTTATTCAAGGACAATGACTGAAAATATATATAACTTTCCGCATTTATTTTTACAAATGATTGACAAAACTAAAAAAAAAAAAAAGCAAAAATTGAAAAATTATACAAGTGTCAAGTGTTAAGCCAATAAAGTGAAAAATTAACCCAAATATGTGACTTATGATATCCATATACCTTGTTATCATTTGAAAATGTTATCTAATTTGTTTATTTAAGATGTTTCTGAAGTATTTTAACAAGAAGAGATAAAGGCTGACTTGGGGAATTTCAACATATAAAACTATTGGATTATTGAATCATAAAATTTCCAGAAAAAAATTTTGGAAATGTTTCTCCTAGTTTATCATCTTCAAATAAACTTGTTGGTAACTATCTGCCAGATGAATTTACCGTTTTATACTTATATTGGTCAGCGGATAATTTGCCGACTAATGGAATTACAGATTGTGTTTTTATCCGTCAGATTGCATACCTAAGAGTTTATCAGAAGGTGAATAAACCGGCCCTTATAAAAAACGACAATTTCTCCCAGAAAAAAATATGTAAATGAACCCCCCACTCTGAGATTCAAATTTCATAGAATCTTGATTGGTGCAAACCGCATTTTGATATCTTCAACCATTTATAATTAATTTCCAAAGAAACTTTCTAAAAGCACTTTTTCAGTGACGTTCTCAGTTTTTTTTTCTATTTGGTCTTGATTTTGAGATATTGACCAATGGTTTTTTCTTCAACACACTATACAGAGTGAGTTACTAAGCGCACAGTGGTCCATATCTCTCATACTAACGGAAATCAAAGAAAAAAACTACATTTATAACTTGAAGATAAACATGAGTACTACATTCCTAAATTATTTTCCAGTATACAGGGTGGTCTAATAAGTAGTGGTGACACAAAGTTGTGTTTTTTTTTAATGACTCCCTCTGTATATTGTGACATTTCTGGATTCTGCAGAAAATTCTAGACATATTTCATGTACAGGGTGCTTCAAATTCAAGCCATATTATTAGGATCTCAGAAACGGTGAGAGATACAAGGTTGGTTAAATTGTGGCAAACTTGCGTAATTTGATGCTCAACAAAATGCTGCTTTGATGTTTAGGATATTCTGAATACTTACGAAATTATTTGGAAAAAACTGAAATTTTGTAAAGGACCCCGCAATATTTAAATGGAAATTGGTTACCCGTGATTTTTGGATGAAATTTAAATATGCTATTGGAGATGCCGTAAGCAACATTTTTTACCATGGGCACAACCCTGTATATATGACAGGTGAGGCGTGGTTAGCTGTCAAATATTGGAATCTTATATCCAAAAGCAGAGTAACTATGGCAGATTTTGATGAACAAAAGCGCTATTTCTACTAAGTCGACCAAGTTAAGTCGAAAAATGCCAACCATTTTGACACCTGTCAAAACCCTGCCAAACGGCAGCACTCATCTTTTCCAGTTTTCAATATTTTATGATGTCATTGACATTTTTAACTTATATGTAAATTCTGAATTCCAAAATTGAAAAAAAAAAATGACAGAACTGCCAAAAAACCTGTCATTTGTTTTAGTAGAAAAAAATACTCTAATCTGGTTCTTTTTTGTTCCAAGGTAGAAACCAGAAATGTCATAATATACAGGGTGATCCATTTGAAAAAAGTTTCTGATATTTCCTGACAACCATGTTAATACCGAGGTAAATACTACCATATTATCGGCCATATTACAATTCTCTTTAAAACCAAAATTCATAAGAATCATGCGAGCTGTTTCCAAGATAAATGAGACGTGCCATATTTAAAACTCACTCGTATAGATTGATTTGGTTCCTGGTGAGTCGTGGGACACTCTGTATAATCCATAAGGAAAGAAACTTGCATTGTTAAGGCCTGGTTGTATATTTTAAGTGCAACCAGTGGTTCAGTTGAACGTCATTGGTATCTGAACTTTCCCATTTGAAATGCATTGCTGTCAGAAATATGTCAAAATGTCAAAATTTTTCAACATTGCATTTCAAATGGAAAAGTTCAAACACAGATTTATTTGGTTTGTTCAAACCCGTCAAAAACCGTCCCATGCACGGTTTCAAAATCACTCAGTATACAAAATATTAGGGTTTGGTCATTGGGTTTTGTGTTTTGTACAGAATCATGACATACCAGTAAATCGTACAGGTTGTCCCATTTTGGTTTGACTATTGAGGGTTGTACAGTCGTGAGCAATAGAAGTGGGACACCCAATTTTTCCTATTGTAAAACGAGTTCACCAGCTATACCTACAGCGTTCAAAAAGTTTGTGCGAATTCCAATGGCTACAACACAGGGTCTCCCAAATTCGAGGGTGACCATTGCGATATCGGAAACTATTAGAGATACGAGGTTGGTTAAATTAGGGCAAAGTTGCGCAATTTTATGAACAAAAAAATGCAGTTTTGAAATTTGAAAAATTCCGAATACTTCCGAAGATATTCGGTAAAAACCGAAATTTTGCAAAATCATTTTTATTTTTTCCTGAGTCTATTTGAAGAGCAATTTTAAAATAAATTTCACTTCATTGTTGTTACTGTTTTCTTCCTTTTACAAGATGGTACCATCAAATTTAAAATCTGAGGTTTCGTCTTTGGGCCACAATCATCAACTACATTTTTTTAAATACGGACTCTTATTTTTTATTTCAGATTTTAAAAGCTTCTGATGTCCCAAAACCTATGACTTATCGCATTTATTCGAAAAAATATTTTTTTTACTTTTTAGTAATTTCCTGTCAAAATTCTCTTCTGTGTCTCTTTCTGTAACACATTTAGTTCTTATGGCAAGTGTCAATTATATATTTTTTTCGGATAAGTGCAATACATTATTGATTTTGAGACATCAGAAGCTTTATGAAAGCTGAAGTAAAAAATAAGAGTCAATATTTAGAAAAATTAAGTTGATGATGGCCGCCCAAAGACGAAATGTCGAATCTGAAATTTGGTAGCAACATCTTGTAAAGAGAAAAAAGTGACAATGAAGAAGTGACATTTATTTTAAAATTGCTCTTCGAATAAACTCAGGAAAAAATAAAAATGATTTTACAAAATTTCGGTTTTCTTCGAATATCTTCGGAAGTATTCGGAATTTTTCAAATTTCAAAACGGCATTTTATTGGACATAAAATTGCACAACTTTGCCATAATTCAACCGACCTCGTATCTCTTATAGTTTCCCATACCTCAATGGTCAACCTCGAATTTGGGACACCCTGTACATAAGGGATAACATGTAATGTTTTAATTGTTTAGTTTACAATAATATAAATATTACAAAGTTTAAACACCCTGAAGTTAAAGCCAACCCGGAGGTGACTCGCTATTGAAAAACCGATCTTTAGAAGGATGCGGTTTTCGCAAACATTGGCTACTTTTTTTGTCAAACAAAATATGCCATCAACAGATAATTGGCCTGTACAGGTTCGAAAAAAAGGACGGTTCTAGAACGGTTCGACACAATCGCACAGTTTAGGTCCTCTTCACAGAAATCGCAAACCAGTCAAAGTGAATTTCATTGGATGAAATTAGTTTTCTGTCTGTTCAACCAATGAAATTCTCTTTGACTGGTTTGTGATTTCTGTGCGAACAGACCTTTTGTCAATCAACAAAATGACAACAGCTCGGCTATCACAAACAAATAAACTGTGCGATTGTTTTGAACCGTTCTACAACTGTCCTTTTTATTTTTTCAACTCTAAGGGCTGGTTTCTCAATAGCAAGTCACCCCTGGGTTAAGCATAACTCCCGGGTAAATATTGCAACTTGACACATTTACCAAAATGAGACAAGCTCACTACAAGTTTTAGTTAATGTTCTAAAACTATGTTATATCAAGTTTTGTTGTTCTCAAGGCGTCAAAAAAAATTTGCTATCAGATTTTTTTCAAAAAAAAAATCCCTTATATAGGTATTATTAACATTTGAGCCTATAAATGTGGACACCCTGTACACTAACTAGTACAGCCTAAGAAATAAAATTATAAAATTTTAGAAGGGTGATCAGCCCTCAAGCAGGAAACTATACACCGTGATTTACGTAGCCCGTGCATTAGAAGTTGTCCAGTTTGCAGATGAATTATTAGAAAGAAATAACATCTAATCCACCTGCAAGGTAATGCTACGTAGATTACCCTGTATATTTTTACCTATAAATGGCCCTGCAGACCAATATTTCCTAGATTTTAAACGTACAGAAAATTGACGTTTTTTAATCAAAAATATAGGTATCATTTTAGATCGAAAAGTATATGAGGAATCGTATAATTTTCAATTCATCATTTTTGGATTCGGCGGGAAAAATTTTACAAGATGGCTATTTTAGATTCTTTAGAAAGAGAAAGTACAGATAGAGCAAAAAATAGTCCTGTCTAATAGGGGTGCCAAACGCCCCACTCTAGGCGTGCTAACATCATGCTTTTCCACTTATTACCACAAGCCACGCCAAAGTACCCCCGCTTTTTAAATTCCAATGAGAACACAAGAATAGAGCTTGTCAGAAAACGTTATAATCGAGGTTATAAATAATAATTGGTAAACGCGACAACGTTGTACCAAATTTGAAACAAAAGTAACATAATTTTTAAGTTCCGAAAGTCATAGTTTTCGACTCGAGCTTGAAAAAAGGAGGGTTCAAAACCATCACACAGTTTATCATTCAACAAAATGACAAAAGCTATATTCTACTATACTAAACCCTCATTGAAGGTGAAGCAAATTGTTCAGGGAGGTCCAGTTTGGACTCATTTATGGTAGGATTTCAAACTATGCGTTGCGATGTACAGTAGCGGTGTGCAGTACCAAAGTTGAGCAGTACTGAGATGTTGCGGAGGTCGCGAACCACATTCTGTTGGCGGCAAATTTGTCATTTTACCATCAGGCAAAAATTCCTGTAGTCGCGATCACAATTGAAACAGCTACTCGACGTAC